TGGGCTATCTCACTAGATCCTTTGAACAAATTATATTAACCAACTTTTTCAGAAGAAGAAAAATGTCTCAAAAGGGTTAAATATTCATGATTACACAGCTAGAAACTGATTGAAAAATAAATAAACACAAACCTTCCATTCTAACTTATTCTTCAGCCTTCTACCTGAGGTATTAGAAAACACGTTTCATTTTTCATTGTTGAACTTCAAAGTGTTATTTCTAAAATGAGACAGAATTTATCAGTCTAGACTGATAAGCAAAATTAGATAAGAGATTTGTCTCCTTTATTCTGGATGTAGCATCATAACTGCTTAAAATCAGCATTGCAACTACCTATAGGTAATGTGCAAAACTCATCACAGTTTGACTCAGAGCTCACAGTCACTTAAAACTTCTCAATCTGATAGAAGATCCATATAAAAAATTACTTGCATTTATATGTACTAGCAATTACCAACTGGAAATGCAATTAAAATACTCCACCTGCAATAGTATGAGAAAGAGAAAAGTACTTAGCAATAAGAAAGGCAAAATAAATGCAAGACTGGCACACTGAAAAACTATAAAACAATGCTGAAAGAAATTTTAAAAGAAGTAAATGGAGACACATTCCATGTTTATGGATTGAAAAACAAATCAGTAAGTTGTCATTTCTCTCCAATTGATCTATATATAAAATGTAATATCTATCAAAATTATAGCAAGATTATTTTAATTGGCAGACTGATCTTATTATTTACAAAAAAAAATAACAAACTCAGAATGCCAATATGATCTTGAAAAGGAACAACAGAATCACAGTACTTTAACTCGTAGACTTCAAAACTTATTGTAAAGCTATAGTAATCAAGGCATACCTGTATAAAAACATCACATTTTTAATCTCATCCCACAAATATACACATGTACTACATAATCACAAAAACTAAAAATTAAAAAATTAAACGCAAAACAAGAAAATACGGTACTAACATAGGGATAAATAAAAAATTGAAAGTTGAGAAATAAACTCATGTTTGTGGTCAGTTATTTTTCGACAAATGTGCTAAAGAAGTTCAATAAGAACAATATATTCTTTAAAACTGTGTTATAAATACTGGGATTACTGAATAGCAACATGCAAATAACTTTACCTAACACCGCACACACACACACACACACACACACACACACACACACAAACTTGAAATAGATTGTTGATCTAAATTTAAGAAATAAAAGCAAACACATTATATAAGAAACCATGAGAAAAAAAATCAGTATGTTTAGAACAGGTAAATGATTCTTTAGATATATCAAAAGCATGAAGAATAAAATGATGAATTGAACTTTATTAAAATTAAAAGCTTCTGTATTTCAGAAGACACGAATTAGGAGTTCAGGTTCTGTTCTGACACATAAAGGTCTGGAAGTCTCTACTTCCACCTTCACAACAAGCGAAAGGCTGAACAGACTGATAATCAATAACTGTTTTTAGATGTATCAAATAATTGATGTTACAGAAAAACTACCGCCTCCAAAACCGGAGAGATAGTGAACACAGAGAACACAGACAAGCTACCTAAGCGAAAGCTGCTGGAGCTATTAGTTGATGGAAATAATTACATAATACCTTTAATAACTTTTTGGAGGCTGAGTGTGACTACAATGACATATAAAATTGCATGGAGATTTACAGTAGGGTGAGACCTACTTACAGTAGGGTGAGACCTCACCACTGTGAATTTTACCTGTATGAGCACCATAAGGTTTTAATGGTGAAGATGGGAGAACAGGAAAGTTCCACTTGTGTTTGTTCAGAGGGGGAAAGAAAGTAATCATTTTTCAACGTAAGCATAAACTTACCATCAAACCCAGCAATTCTATGTCTAGGTGTCTACCCAACAGAGATGAAAACATAGCCATACAAAGTGGTGTATGCAAATGTTCATAGCATCATTTTTCATAACAGCTCCAAATTAAAAATAATCCAAAAGACACTATCTGGTGAATGGATAAAGAAATGTGGTACAACTTAAAATGAAATGTTTTTCAGCAATAAAAAGGTACAAGCAAATACAAAAAGAAACTATGTTTGTGGTTGCCTAAGGCTGAGGGTGGGGACAGGGTCTCATTAAAAATAAAAATTAAAAAAAGTAGCATAAAAGCATGTGGGATCATATTAGGGAGATGAAAATGTTCTGAAGATGGATTACAGTACTGGCTGCCCAACTCAGTAAATGTGATGAGTTATTGAAACTTACACTTAAAGGAGTGATTTTTTATGGTATGTAAATTATGAATAAAGCTATTTTTAAAAATCATATTTTTCAAAAATAATTAGCTTCATTGTGCCTTTTCACCCATTCTAATTATTAACAGAGTACCAATCTCTTCTGTTCAAAAGTAAATAGGAAAAAGTTAACCAGCCAAAAATAACTCCTACTCTAGTTTTCTTTCTTGATAATGATGATATAATTATTTTAGCCAATAAAACATATATTTAGGGCCAATTATTTCTGTTATTGCCTAAATTCCAGTTCCTATTTAATCTCACTTTAATTATTTTTAAAATTTTTGAATTCGGCAATTTTGGGATTTCTGAATTCATTACAGATGAAAATCAAATTAACACAAATAAGAATAAAGTTGCTATCAATTTTATTAAGTAAGGGCATTAAAAACAAAGTTAAACTACATTATAACCTACTTTCTTTCATCAGATACAACTAAATAGCATTCATTGAATATCCGATTAAAGAAAAGTCATATAAAGGCTTATGTTAAGTTTTAAAACACACAAAAAAATAGACAAAATATAAAGGGTAGAAATGTGATAAATCATTTTATTTTGTGTTTTTAAAAAATGAAATTATATTATGATTTCTTTGTCAGTTGGACATTCGATAAAGCAACCCAAATTGGAGCTTAAGTCTCTAGGTTGATAAGAGTCAGTATTTTTATATTGCTGCATTGAAATTGAAGCAATATATTTCATAATATTTAATGCAAATCAGAATATTATTGCTAAATTTAGACAAGGCAGAGAACACAGTCTCTCTAGTTTTATTTATTGAAAATATCCAGATTAGTTGCTCAGAATCTGAATTTCTAAAAGCTTCCCAGATGGTTCTTATGAATGGGAAATGTATCATTAGTGAAAAGTGACCTATACATTTGGAACACCTGGAGGAATTGCAAAATTAATACAACTCACATCTAGGTGTTACCCTTTGAGGTACTGAGGTAGTTTTTCTGAATGGGTTGTGAGCATCAGTATTTTGTGAGTACCCTCTGTTGATACTATTCTGAACAGAGCTATGATGTACTGGTTGAGAACTTGAAAACTGATGTTCATCAGTGTCCCCCTAATTCCTGTTACTCCCACCTGATTTATGTCACTTATTGTATTACTTTCCTCATTATTATCTATAATTGAATCTGCAGGCTCTGAACACTGAGCACTTTTTGTACGAAAAGGAGTAGCTTCTTAGGAGCAGAGACTCCAATAATAAAAGTCTAGAAAACAGAAGTCAGGCTAGTGAAAGTACATTTTTATTTGTGCTGGTGGAGGCAGCTTATTGAAGAACTCCAGATCCAGATTGAGACCAGAACAAGATAGTATATGCTTCTGGAATTTACTGAGGACAGAAGAATTATCACTGACAAAGAGAACAACAAAAGTAGGATAGAGAAACAAATAACACATGAATAAAACAATTTATGATCTTAAACAGGCTTCAGTAAGAAAAGTAGACCAGAAGGTTGATTTGGGGAACCCTAGCAAACCACACATAAATTTTCTGTTTTGCATTCAATAAGAACATGTTTTTATGTAGTTTCAAAAATATATATCAAGAAATAAAAACCTCACCCTTAAAACTAATACCATGGTCTTATCACTCGATTGAATACAAACATTTGAAAACCTGAACTAGCTCCCTGGTACAAATCAAACTCCTTAGCTTGGTAATCCGGGGCCCTCACTCTCTAGTCTTCAACACATCCCACCACTTCGTGTACTATGTTTTTTACCAATACTGCTGTGATATTTTCCTGTCTCTGCAAATTTCCTCACACTGTCAAAGACATATCCATTCTTCAAACTATAGTAAAAGTCTTCCTTCCTGCTCAAAGCCTTTTTGACTCTCTCCTCCTTTGGAAATAAATTTCAAGCATTTAATTTATACTTCTTATTAACTTAATGCTCTAAATTGTACAGTTTGGGTACATGTTTAAATACACAAAGACTTGAAGGAAAAAATGTTGAATAATTCATTTTTCTAAATCCACTTTGGCAGCCATCAGAGAAAAAAGGGATTACTTATTTAACTTATTTTTCTATTCCTCCTTATCATTATTATGTATTTTTAGCTGCAGCCTGATTTTTTTCAAGCATAAATATTTCCATCTGACACTTTTCAAGTTGGATTGAAGCCGAATTTTGAATCTATTCAACACAGTTGTTGTCATTTGCTGGATCTCAAATCCAAATGTAATAGATCCATAAGTTTAATTTTGCCAAAGTTCAAAAAATAATAATAATAAAACTCCATTGCACTATCAATGAGTGAAAAGACTCAAATTCCATATTTCCTATTATTTGAAGGAAATGAATCTCTCTTCCTCTATCGTGGTACCTCTGTATGCTGACTTTATTTGCTTTACATGGAGAAATACATCCTATAAGGATTTTGTTGGTTTTTGCTTTTTACATTTTATCAGCTTTCTGTCATGTAGCTGTGGGAATGACCACCTTGCTTAGCCTGTAGTCATCCACTTACCTCTCTTAACAACTCATCACAGTTGTCCTAAGAATCTGGTTGTAATGCTTAATGGAACACTTACCTGATTCACACCAAAAGAACCTTTACTTTCTTATATATGAAAGTACAGTCCTTAGATAGTATATGTTACACATAAGAAGAAAGTTTCATGGTGGCATGAATCAGAATTGTTAAAATGCTTACGCTTTGTTCTCATGTCTAATACTGTAAAAACCATCTTAACTTTTTCTTACATCTTGAGAGTCACAGGCAGTGGTACTTGGATTTCCTTCCTTTGTTGACTCAGCTTGAGAGCTTTCATTGTTTCCAGAAGCACTTTGTTGAGGCTTAGAAGAGATGGAGAGAGATAGAAAGAAAAAAAATCATTAAATATAAGAGAAATAGTTTCAACAAATCGAGATCCAAATCATTATTGTAACATGATATAATGTTATAGCAATGCTGCAATCAAAATAAAATAAAATGAAAATTTGTATATTTCAGAAGCCATAAAATATACCTTGAAAAATTCTTAATTTTGAAATTAAATAAATTCTGTTTAATTTTGCATTAGCAATGTCCACTGGAATTATTTTCTTACTGAAAATACTTATGTCTTCCATAATAAGATGTTATTTTAAGGATGCTAGTCCCTCACAAAGTATATATGCTGTCATTTCTTTTTATTTAACTCCCAGTATGTCAAAAATAATAACCTCATTTTCTCAATAGAAAGAAAATGCTTTGTAACACTTCATAATTTACATAGTGGATAAAATTTACTCCAATGTTTTACTAACCAATAAAATCCTCCTTTATATTTCTAGAAACCCTAAATATTATTCTAGGATTCAGCTCTCTAGAAACACAATTGAAAGAAAAATTTTTTTAAAAAAAAGGAGAAAAGAAAAGAAAAAAGGAAAAGCTGTTTTCTAGTTCTGGTCAGAGAAGGGTATGCCTTAATTGATGTATACAAATACCACTACAGGTAAGTTTAAGATTATCCATTCAAATGTGTATATATTTCTTGGGCAGAGCTGATGTGAATAGTAGTGTTACACTCAGCTCCTCAATCCATGAGGCTACTGTTGCAGGGCACATAAAAGTGTACGAGTAAATGCTAATTTGCCTGAGTGTGAAACTTTCATCACATTACATCACAGCAGAGGAAGATATGAGGTTTCTAACCATTAGGGGTCGAGGAAAACGAAGACATGTTCTGGTAAGAGCATTCAAATCTCTCCCAGGTTTCTTTCACCTGTACACTTTCTACACAGCACTCTCCTGGTTTTTCACAGAAAAGTACGTTCTTTAGCAGAACATTTTTACAAAAACAATATCTTTATAAAACTAAAATCCAAGAATACTTGAAGCTGATAGAATATTAAATGTAAAAAATAACATTAATAAGGCAACTAGAATATGAGAAAAACAATAGAAAATAAGGTAATTAAGGTCACTAAAATTGATCCTATGTAAAGTCGGCCAAATGCTGGGCTCTGGGTATAACAATCAATCAATAAATAAAACATAAATACATTATTCTTCATTTATACTTTAAAAAGTTTAACTTCATTGGTTAAAGTCCTGAAGGCATTTAGTTTTCCAACGCCCATACTCTCTTTTTCTTCCCTGTCTTTCCTTTGTTTAGGAATCCTACCTCTGACCTCCCCGCTATCTTCTCCAGGAATAAAAATAATTAAGAAAATAAAAGTTCCTCTTTCTAATCCTATTAAATGTGTTCAATAAGCTTTGGAGCTGGCCTTTAAATCAAGCCAATGAACAATTAAGTGTTCTATGTCAGGTGCTCTTGGTAAATACAGAGATGACAAAGGTAGCATTTGCGTCGTCACAGAGTTCACATAATCTTATTCACATAAATAACTCTAATATAAAGCTTATTAAGTACAAGGAGGCAGAACAAACTTGTATATATTTTAAAAGAATAATGGTCAATTCTATTTGGAACAATAAGAAAAGTCCTAGTGAAGAGGGTTTTTGTTTTTGTTTTTTTGAGACAGTCTTGCTCTGTCGCCAGGTGCCAGGCTGGAGTGCAGTGGTGCGATCTTGGCTCACTGCAACCTCCGCCTCCTGGGTTCAAGCAATTCTCCTGCGAGTAGCTGGGACTACAGGCTCGCGCCACCACGCCCAGCTAATTTTGTATTTTAGTAGAGACAGGGTTTCACCATGTTGGCCAGAATGGTCTTGATCTCTTGACCTTGTGATCTGCCCGCCTCGGCCTCCCAAAGTGCTGGGATTATAGGCGTTGAGCCACGGTGCCCAGCTGAAAAGGGTTATTTTTGAAGTGGTTCACTGAATAACTATGGCAAGAATGAGGGAGGACCATCCAAGTGAAGGAAAACATTTAAACAAAGAAACAGAAGAACGAGACTCAGTTGTTGACTAGTTGGTCTGTAGGGTAGGAGGAGGAATAAGCATGAATAAAAATACTATGAAGTAGAGAGCAGATCCCAAAACTGAGCGACAAAATCTGTGCTTAATTTAGCAGCCAAAGCGGGGTGAGTGTGGTGCCTCAGGACTGTATTTCCAGCAGGAGGATCTCTTGAGGTCAGGAGTGCAAGAGCAGCTCAGACAACATCATGAGTCTCCTGTCTCTACAATTTTTTTTTTTTTTTTTTTGTAGTGTGGTAATTTACACCTATAATTCTAGCTACTGAGGAAGCTGAGGCTGGAAGATGGCTTGAGTCCAGAAATTCTAAGCTGCAGTGAACTGTGATTGTGTCACTGTATTCTTGCCTGGGATAGACTCTAGCATAAAGAAAAAAAAGTAACCCAAGGGAGAGTGATATGCCTAGAGCCCCTGTCAGCAGGATATGGAATAAAGAGCAGAAGAAAATGAGAGTGGGGAAACTACTACAGAAGCAATTAAAATGGCCAGGTATATGGCAGCAACAGCTGAACTGAGATGTCAATCCTGGTGATTGAAGAGATTACATAGTAATTGTACGTTCTGAACAAGGGTTAGAATCTATGCCATTTGAAGAATCTAAATAAACATAAAAACTTGAAGAAAAGGCAGGTTTTTAGCAAGAAGGGCAATTTTATATTTTTAATTGAGAGTTTAAATCACTTGCAACTCCCAAATAGGTAAATATTATTGGATATCAGTGTTAAAAACAATACCATTCTTAACAAGAGTCACAACAGCTATTTATTGTAGCAAAGATCTACTGAACATCCACCACCTGTCTTCCCATAATCACCAACTTACAGATGCTTGGAGGACACAGGTTAAAAAGAACAAGGGTAATAACCAAACACCAATACTCAGTCTCACCTGGCAGTCACAGTAAGGACCACAGCTGTAAAATCATGAAGAATGGATTAAATCACACTAACAGGGAAGGGACAATTTCAGTGTATTTTCTTACTAAACAATCAGATGACAGAATAAATAGTCCCAGAATTTCCTTGTAAATTTCTTTTAAAATATAGTGGCATTAAATAAAACACATGCATTATTCTAGCAATATCTACTTTTATTTGTTACCCTCCCAGTCTTTGTTAATATCTACATGCAGGAATATCTTACACAGTCACAATTATTGTGCCCATGCCATTTTTATTTTGCTTTTACATACAATATAGAATGATGCTACATATGGTTTGTATCTATACTTTACAGGTCTAAAAAATTTTAAGGTGGTTTTTTAAAATGTATATTATAGTTGACAATTTTGGAAGTTTTCAATTTTGAGTTCTATAGATAATATTTTGGTGAATGTTAACCTCCTTGGTACCAGCCTGCATAATTCATTTCATTCTAATCACTGATTTAAACATCAGGCTGTCATAGGCTCAGAGCTTCTTAAAGGAAGATATCATGTGTTATTCATGGTTTCATCCTTGGAAGCTAGTACATATGTTTCATTCATAAGTTTTTGTTTCCTTCTTTTTCCTTTTCACCATTTACTCTGATATGGGCACATACATAATCCAAGTTAGGTCATTAGAAGCCTTGGAATTTAGTTGACCCGATTCAAGACAGGCTACCAATGGTTAGATATGTTCATGTCAGCAGGGTATCTTATACAAGTTGTTTCTACAGTACAACCATTTTTGTAGTTCACATATCCCAACCTACTGAAGCAACCTTTATTTCTGCCTATGCCCAGGCTTGTTTCTCCCATCTTCTTCCTAATACTATGAGTTATGATGGTCAACCAAGAAATGCCCTTTACTAAAATTGGTAAAGATCAGTATTTTTTGTATGTATCCAGGAAGGCCTGTGTAATACAGGGAATCAAACCAATAAAGTGAAACTGACAACACAAGTTCTGGGATAGTGTTTTACCATAGAAACTACCAGAAGGAAAACCTAAATCAGTTAGGAAAGCTCAAAAGAGTAATTACAGGCTCACCAATGATGAAAATTTTATTTTAGCATGGATATTCAATAAATTCCTAAAAATGCAACTATGTAGCAGAGGGATCCTTTTCATGCTTGCTTAATTACATTTTTCTCATGCAAATATTGAGCATTTATTCAAATGTGCCCAGATTTTGAAGGTAAGGCTGAGGCAAATAATATATTGAAAATAAATTATCATTTACCTATAATTTATTATTGTGGATCTTTGGTATTTTTGATGGAAGATAAAAGGGGCTTCATTCACTATTAAGTTCACAAAGAGCAAGGAGAAAAGAATGACAGCGTAAGCTTCCACTTCCATGAATTAACGAAAGGCTGCTCTTGTGCTCTTCTATCAGATAACTGGGTTGTCTGGTTTATTACCTCTTTTAATTAATACTAAAGTTATCTCACTTAATTTTACTTTAAAATATGTACAGACATTACTTTTAAAAATAGGAAGAAAATATATATTTATTCACCAGTGTGAGCACCAAAGCATAAAGGTTAATTTTTAACGTACAAAAACATAATAATTAATAAACTGCTTGCTTTCAAAAATAATAAATGTCATCCTTCATACATGGACTTTGCTGTCAGTGAGATGGCTCCTTGTAGAAAGAAGCCTTATTGAATCTGATGAATTAACACCAGAATGAGAACTGAATTCAGGGAAAGATAATGTATTTTGGAGTCAAAGGAATGTGGATTTTTATTCTGGATTAGTACTTAAATAAAATGGACCTCAGTCTGTATATATATACAGACTGCGCGTGTGTGTGTGTATAACACACACACACACAAAATATATATATCCTTAATATACATCTTTATACATCTATCCTTAATTACAAGGAGATATACATAGATGTATCTATGTGTATCTAAATATATATATATATATATATATATGTATATCTACTTGTAATTAAGGTTATGTATATCTACATATATCTCCTTGCAATGAACGGTATA